ACCGGTGAGCAGCCGCCTCCAGCAGGCTGTGGGATGAGTTGCTCTTTCTATACAATGCCTGATAAATGGCACTTGAACATAAATAGACTGGAACAGCGTAGCTCTAAGTAGGCTCTTGAAATCATAATGGACACAGAGCCAGGAAACACATTTTGCCTATGAGGATGTCAAATCACAGCATGCAGATATTTTACTGTCAGATTTTACAATAGACTCAGATCAATGCAGTCCAATTCTAATATAATGTTGCATTACAAATACAGGGCATCTGCTGTACTATCAAAGGGTTTTATTTTGATTTTAGGCAACAAATATAAAGTAGTAAAGGACTATCAAAGAAAGTCAAAGAAAAAAAAACTGAATTTTCCCAAAATATTCACAAATAAAATACTGAAAAGATAGAAATGCAGTCAGTTTCTTTCCCTCGTGTAGCTCTTATTGAAATCCAGAGCTTTAGACTCTGTTCAGAAATCCTCTAAGTAGTAAAGAGGCTCTAACTGAGCCTCAGATTGAGCTGTATAAATGTTTAAAGCAAAAATAACACTGTGTAACATTTGACCTGAGTATTAGCTTAATTAATTATTATTTATTAAATTATTAACAGGTCAGTATGCAGCACTTGGTGTCTATTAATGCCCCGTAATGGTTGTTCTTCTCAAAAACAGATCCATCTCTGAATGAGTCTTGTGATCCAAAACTTCCTCTTTACAGTAAAGCAGTCTTTGCTCCCTGGGAGCTAACTGAGCTAAAAGTTGTTGCAAGGCAACAACACAGATATGATGTATTTTTGGTGCTCTGGTTTAGGATTTCGTGTAAAAGGGGTAATGCAGCCTTTCCTTCGTTAGTAACTGCATGACCTGTCAGTGTGCTGGCCCAAATCGGTCTGCCGTCAGATTCCAACACAACAAGGAAGACTGTGCATACAGCCAAAGTTATGATGGAGGCCGATTCACAGCACAAAGCTTAATCTGGTGAAAGGTTTGTGGCAAGATTTGGAAAAAAAGATCTTCAGGCTCTTCATAGAAATGTTGCATCAAAACAAACTAAGAATGAGCTAATTGGCGAAGGAAACTGGGAAAAAAAACAATCTTGATCTGGAAAACTAGTAGACATAAAGAGGGACTGAATACAGACGCCCACTACTTTTTATTTTACATTATGTTATATTGGTCGATTAAATACCTCTAAACGTTGGGTTCCCAAAGAGTGGATTGTGAGACACCAAGTTAGGGGCCCCAGAATGGTTTTCACAATCATTGTGATGTGATTACTGAAGTACATGGAGGGCCAAAATATAGCAATAAAACACATACTGTATATGGTAATGTCAAAAAAAATAAATAAATGCATGATCAAATATGTAGAGGCAACAAAGCAAGCAAAAAGCATATTTCAATGAAATAGAAAATAAAACTATACAAATATTTTTTGTTGTTTATTTTATGGTGTCACAGAATTTAAAATTGGCATCAATATTTTTTTTGTTCTACCCTTTAAAATTGCTCATTTACTCAGTTCAAATCTACAAAAACATCCTGAAAATACAGAGAGCCAACAGCTCAGAAATCTTAATGACTGTTAGAATGAAGGGAATGTCACTACTCTTCGGTTAGGTCTGGATTCTGTTTTGTGAAGCAAGTTTTTCTGCATCATGAAGCATCATTGCAGTGAATGTCTTGGTGGTTTCTTTCAGTATTCCATTTACCTATTTACAAAAAGATCAGAGAGATCCCTGTTGAGTTTTTCCTCACACTTGCTCACTTAAATTGAGATAACATCTGGGATAAGAAAGCAGCAAACACTAAAGGGGGGGTTGTGTGTGCAGGAGAGAGTTCTTCAAAGCTGGTAAAGAGCATGTTGGATCAGCTTCAGGGAGGGAAGTGTGGGAGATAAGCCAATGACAGCTGCCTAACACCTCTGCGGTTAGTCTGAGTGTGTGTGTGTGTCTGGGCCTTCAAGTCAGAGGGAGGGTTTCTGAATCCCAACCACCTGCCAGCCCTGGTCTCTCATGGCAGGTGTTAGCCGATTTCTACACGATTCAGACCTCTGATAAGTACAGAGCATATGTGACATTCTTATCGCCTGCATCTCTTTGTAATAACATTAGAGTAGATGCACTGATGGAGAGATTACCTAAATGTGAGGTAACATTTGGGGGTTGGGGGGCTGCTCATTGGAATGCTTTGTATTGCAGTCAAATGATTGAAACGGATTTTACACAGAAAGTTAAGATATGTGTTAAACTAAAACCAGGATATGACAGGCTTAAAGGAATAGTACACCCAAAACATGATTAGCCTTCATTTTCTACTCACCCCCATGCTGAACAACACTCTGGAGTACTTTTTTGATATCTCAAATGCATCTGGAGATCTGGGAGGCTTCTTGCTGTCTGCTGACATTCAAATAATGGAGGTCTATGGTGCCCGAGACAGAAAGGTCCATAAAAGTCCACAAAAAACGTTTCAATATTCCTCCATACTGCTCGTCCAATGTATTCCAAGTGTCCTGAGTGGGTAGCATCCAGAATTAACTCGAAACGAAGTCATTTAGAATGTTTTAGAGCATAAACAGTAGTGTGTAGGATTTCCTGAAAGCGCGCACATGCGCGTTCACGACGCTACGGAAGCCGGCAGACCAAACCAGATGAAAGTGCGCATTCAGCGTCTGCTCTGCCAATAATGCAAGCGTAGAAGAAGAAATGTGCTGTTTACCTGTGCAAAGAAAGAAACAACGAAAGAAAAATGTCTGAGGACTTCAGTGTTGAGGAAGAGCATGAGTTCTTTGCCGAGCTGAATGCGCTGGTTTGGTCTGCCGGCTTCCGTAGCGTCGTGAACGCGCATGTGCGCGCTTTCAGGAAATCCTATACACTACTGTTTATGCTCTAAAAACATTCTAAATGACTTCGTTTCGAGTAAATTCCGGATGCTACCCACTCAGGACACTTGGAATACATTGGACGAGCAGTATGGAGGAATATTGAAACGTTTTTTGTGGACTTTTATGGACCTTTCTGTCTCAGTCACCATAGACCTCCATTATTTGAATGTCAGCAGACAGCAAGAAGCCTCCCAGATCTCCAGATGCATTTGAGATATCAAAAAAGTACTCCAGAGTGTTGTTCAGCATGGGGGTGAGTAGAAAATGAAGGCTAATCATGTTTTGGGTGTACTATTCCTTTAAGAACGGGCTAAGAAATGCCAACTAAGAAGTGATAATAAAAAATAAAAAAATAACCTAGATGCTTATTTTATTATTGCAGCAGAAATAAAGGACTGCCTGAAGCGCTCTGTTCTACATAGAGCAGAGATTTACGCTATATTTATGCTATATTTACATCAAAACTTTCTGCCTTGTGTTTCAATAGCATAGGAAATTACACTGAACGTTAAAGGGTGAGAATTGGCAAGAATTTGGCAGTACTATACGGACATGTATTATAATACATACATATGTCACTATCTGATTTGACCTTATATATCACCATAAATTAACAAAGGCATTACATTGCAATTTGTTTAATAATATAAACTTGTAAAACCTCATGAGATCTTGGTATTTGCTGTGGCGGGTGCACAGCAGCTGACTGTTAGACTCCTGGGCGGTGTGCTGCCATCGGGTAGGTGGGGGTTTAAGAGTTATTTAAAAGTAAGACAATGTCAGTATGTTTGGCTGCATTATTTTATTTTATTCTTTTACTTCTAAGATCCATTAGGCTGCAAATCAATCCCAATGTTGTTTAATGAAATATTACAATATTTGACAGAATCTTTTCTTTTATACTCTTATTTAGTACATAAATGTCTCTGCAGGATCCTCTCCCCAGCCATCTGATCCTGCAGCATATTCTTTTTTTACCTATGGCAGAATGAGAATAGAAAACTGCTAAAAGCTCCTTATGTGTGCAACTGGTATGACATGAATACAGGTGTGGCTTATGTGATCTATCTGCACCAGTTGATATTCACCTACCATAACATGTTGAAGGCTTGGAGTAGCATGCTGAGGGATTGCCTTCGAGTCAATGAGTTGATGCAATCAACTGGTTTTCTTAGATAGAAAATCAATTTGACTTTTCTTAGATAGAAATCAAATTGACTGTATGATCTGGCTGAATTGTAAAGTTCATTGAGATGAAATGTGTTGTGAATTGGTGCTATATAGATAAACTGAATCGAACTGAATTGAGTACATTAGCTGCCATTGCAGTGTAGCAGGACAGAATTCCCCATTAAGTCATTAATGCTCGTAGTCTGTGAACCAAAATTTCTTCCTCAGGTCGAGTCCTCCTTAAATTTGACTTTCAGATTATGACATTGATGTATGAAATGAGTGTACAAAAAATTCATCCTTCATCTCTTTTTGGTGTAGATATGTGTACCTAAAGGTATAGAGGAGATCTTTTATGAGCACTTTCAGGCGTATACCTGTGGTGAGCTACGGTCATTGAAGCTCACCTTTCTCACCATGGTCGGGGGTCGTAAGAGAAAAAGTGTCTATCAAGTGCATGAGAAGAAAAGAAAGGCCTCAGGAGAGGCAGATATATGATAGAATGCTTTGTGCAGAGAGCATTATGGGATTTGCTGTCACACCGGACACATGTTCGCACACAGTACGCTGTATGAGCTGTATGAGCAACTTTTAAACTGAGTTTGCACGAGGAGAAATGGGCTCATGCATGCTCTCACATGCACATTGTTTTTCAAAGTGGAGAGGGCGGGTGTTTTAACAAATTCGTGAAAATCCTCCACAATACCTTTAAGAAAAGGTCTTTTAAACAGACAATCTTCTCTACAGCTTTAACGTTTATTTTCTATTTGATATTTTAAACACATGCATAAAATGTAAAGTACTATGAATAGGGGTTCTAATTTCTGAAATCCAAAAAGTCACTTGCGTTACCTTTTATATTTTTCTGAGGTTCCAATAAGATGTGGGAGTCCCTTTGTGCAACAAATGCAAACTAATGTAAATTTTTCTGTCTCTTTCTTTCCACCCAGCGTGCCACTGCAACCTGCATGCCCGTCGGTGCCGCTTCAACATGGAGCTGTACAAGCTGTCCGGCCGCAGGAGTGGCGGGGTCTGTCTCAACTGTCGTCACAACACAGCAGGGCGCCACTGTCACTACTGCAAGGAGGGCTACTACAGGGACATGACCAAGTCCATTTCTCACCGCAGAGCTTGCAAAGGTAACGGATGTTTGGTATTAGCACCTTTGATAACTGACACAATACACTCAATGTACAGCTAAAGGTTCAATCTAAACTGATGACACTGTTGGCTCTTTTTAAAGTGTAACCATGAGGACTTGGAAGAATAAAATGGTACAATATTCTTAATCAATGTTGAGTCTGACGATGTAAGTCTGGTGAAGAATAAAACACGAGTGTTTTAGACCTGATCAAAACAGAAACTGGCCTAGATCTAATTTAGACTAAAGCCAGAGCTCATAACCCTACCAAGGATATATTGCTCATATTTAAACATAGCAGATCTATCTGGTCTGAGCCTAGATATTTGAAAACAACCACAGACAGCATGTAAATCATAAAAAACTGCAAAAGCCCAAAAAGAAACCATAACTTTATATAAAAATCTACACATATTTCTTAATTTAAGAGGGTAAAATTAGCTGACTAGAAGTAAATAAATATTTGGATTCAACTTTTAGATGGAAGCAGCACATTTTAATCTGACTTTTATATCACTAGAGATAAAGTTAAGTCTTTCTCAGTAAAACAAAAAGTTCTGTTTATTAGGAATCATAATGTTGAAATAGAACTAGCTACTATACCATCAACATCTCTTTGAATTGTTCATAACATGTAGATGGAACAGTGCTTATATTATATAAGAGCAGATAAGGGCAGGACTTTAATGTTTCCATCAATTTATCTTTACCCACTTATCTTAAGAGTTTTAGAGTAGTTAAGATTTTCTATGATTTAAACTTTTCTTATTTATTATCTTTTACTTTCTTTATCAATATATCTCCACGTCTTTACAATATTTTTTGTATCTCAGGCTAAAAGATAAAGTTGTGAACATCAAGGACAGTTGGAATCTATTGACCAGGCAGAATAAGCTTCTGGCACATTATTAAATGAGATGTGAAATATCATTTTCCAGGAAATATGGCACCCCGAGCTGTCCTTTGCAGAGACCTTGCCCTCAGTGATGGTGCAATTAGAGTTAATATTCAATATAATGTGCAGCATTGGTTTTTTTACATCAGCATAAAGAAAAATTAGGGTAGGGGTGTTTTGTTCCTTCCTGGAAAGAATTACCAAAATCTTGTGTTGTGAACAAAAAACTTTGATTCATGCATTTTGTAGTAACCTTGATGTAATACTGCACTCTTAGTGATCAAAGGTGGAATGGGATGTTTTTTAATGTTCTCAAAATAAAACAAAAAAAAATATTCTGTAAAACAAATATTTCTCCAGGTCAAACAGATCACACAAGCTAAAAGAAACTTTAAAAATGTAAAGTGACCTAACTGCAATAATGAATTTAAAGCTATTTTTTTTTTTTCATATAGCTTAGACTAGTGCTTAGTTTAGGGAAAAGATAAAAACAAACCGCAGAGACTGTTTGGGTAGAAATCTTTAGGACAGAGCAGACCCAGGCGCTCTTTAGCCATGGTGTCAGCGAACTGACCCATGCAATTCCTAAACTATTTGAGGCCCTCCATGAATGCCTCACGAAACAAGCATAACAAACAGGCCAGAGGTGGTTGCCGATCCATTGAGCAGAAACGCCTCGCTAGACGGCATTCTCCTCCGTTCACTCAGCAATTACACACACGTGAGTACTGGGGAAAAAAAACAAAACACACACACAGGTGTGGACACACGCGCAAGGTTTGAGGCACAGCTGGCAGGAATTAAAATGTGGGGAGACAAAGCTGAGCTCCTTCTGTGTGGAAGGACCTCTGGGAGTAAAGAAGGTCCTGTGCAAACAAACTGCTGCCAATCAGTCTCTCTTGTTAGAATCTAACCAGCAAAATATCAAAGTGATGCACTGCTTACCCATGTGTTCAGCCGAAACCAAAAGTAAAACACTATGGATGTTTAATAGTTTGCATAAGTATTGATTCCCTTAAACTTATTTAGACTTTGTGTAATCCAGTCAAGTATTTGATTTGTTTTACCGGCATTATAAATCAATCTTCTTCGTCTTAATCAAGCACGATCTCTAATTAGACTCATGCTCCATTTACATTACCCTTTTAATACCGTGCTGAGATCAGCCAGAATACGGTAACCAAGATAAATGTTGAGTGTAAATGGTGCTAATATCGAACCAGACCTTGCCAGACACATCGAACCTCGTTAAACTGGTACTAGTTCATCAGTAGGGCTCGGCGCGGTTCGGTTTTGGCTCAGTTCTCAAATAGCAAAGAGCTCATCTGCAGACTCCATCATCTCCTGGCAGTAATCACGACACTTTAGACATTTATAAAAATACTAGTTTCCCTACCATCCCACATGATATTCAGGGATTATTCTGCTTAGCAGTGTGAGCCTTAACGTCTGTCGTTGTTTCCTTCGCCTGTAAACCCTGATTAGACTATGGTTTGTCATATCCACTTCCCAATAATCTGACTCTGTCAAGTAAATTCATCAAAGGCTGCCTTCTTCATCTGACTCTCAGTAAATGACAAAATTTCACAACGATAACAGAACATAACTTCATGAAATTTACGGGCACCGCCATGGTGGTTTGCTTGTTTACCTCTAGAGAGCAGTAGTACCATAGATCCCCACTAGGAGGCGGGGAACCATGCTAGTGCGATGTGTAAATGGTCATAAGGAACCGAGCGGCACAGTTATCTGAGCCTAGCTTGGCACGGACCGGTTTTCAGAGGGTGGTGGAAATGGGACTTTAAAAGAGTTTTTTCACCAAAAACTTTAATTCAGTCTGAGTTTCAGCTACTTTGCAAGGAGCGCGGGAAATAAAAGCTTCCGTCTCTACATGTCCAAAACAGGTTTAGAAATATCCCAAAAAACATTGTGGATTAAAAATAGCTAAACTGTTCCATAAAGTTTTTCATAAAAAATGTAAACAATAATGAAGTTTTTTATTAATTAGGTGAACAAAAACAAGGCATAAAACTTTCCTTTAGCTGCCAGTTTTAATGTAATTTAATTTTCAATCTCTTACTTCGCCACATGCATTTGAGCTTTTTGCCGATTTAAACAGCTCTGTACATTGCATTGTTAAGCCACATTAACCGCCAGGCTATGATTGGCTGTTACGGGAGTTTTAGGATGCCAGGCCACTGGCGCCCCTGTCTTTGGTTCACCGCTGGCCGCCGGAACAGCAACGTGATATTTCCTGCAGCACGCCGCAACAGTTTGCTTTGAATTCTGCCTTCATAAGAGAGAAATGAAGCCACGCATAGCAGAAAGCTCAGATACCTTTACCAAAGTTAGAGATCAGAGTCCAGCAGAGCACTATGTTCAGCCATGCTGATGTTTTGCAGGAGCTTGATAGATTATCTGCACTTAGCAGGTTCCCTCTGCCAGCCTAAACATTTCCCCAGTTCTATTTGGGTGTAGTTCCATTTGGAGTTTGGAGGTAAAAGCAGCTTAGTTTAACAAAAAGTTCCCCTCGTTTGATGATGCAGTGATATTCATACATCTCTGTGCAGCCTTTCTCAACAGCTGAAACAGTAACCTGAACATGTTTCCTTATACCTCCCCACCCAGCCCGCTCATTGCTCTGGGATCAAATCCAAACAGTCTGATTGCTGCCTTTCTTCTCAGGTGACAAAAACGGGCCGTCGCGACATCAGTTAAGAACAGCCGTATTTATTGTTCAAATCAGCCGCCCATCTCGTTCTGCTGTTGTTGGACAGGAAATAACAGCATGGTGCCAACAAAGCCGGGAGGAAACCTGCTTTCATTCCCCGTTCCTCCACCACCTATTTCCCCCGCGACGCCTCGCTTCTCAGCAGTTGTACGCTGAGCAGCCATAACCTTTTAAGAAAAAAAAAAAAACTAAAAGAAAAAGAGAGGGTATTATACTTCATGCAGTGAATACATCTCTAGTGGCAATGTTGAATGGCTTATGCTTTATTTCCCAGATTAACAGCTTCGCTCCTCATCAAGGGTAGTTTAAACATGGCTCCTGGAGAATCGCATTGCTTACCTCCCACCCCTTCAGTTTCTCCTTTTTATTTTTTTTTTCAAACCTTTTCCGTCCATAAATTTGGCGGTTAAGCCTCTGGTGAGTCCACAGAGATGAGGGTGATACATGGTTCATTGCACTGGAGTCCCAAAGGCCCTGAACAACCATTCACTTCTTCAGACCTTCCACTGCAGCTTCAAATTAGAAAGTTTTACTTTTTAAACATTTCAATTATCAAAAATAGGAAAAAAAACAGCAAAAATGTTTAGAAGAAAGTGTTTTGTATTGAGAATCTTGGAACACCTGTGCAGTTCCTTGTTGTATTAAATGTTGAAGAAGAAGTTCACAGACTTAATAAGAAATGCAGGTTTTTTTCTACATAAAAGAATTTTACTTACTGTAAAAAGAAGCTTGGTGTGGTGTTTTTTTCCTGATGTGTTTTTACATAACGTTCTGCACAAAAGGGAGTATGAGAAAACATCTGGTTCCTTATGGAAGATTGACTGAACTATAAGCTGCAGGCAACCCATGACATCTTACAACTGAACAGCTGCAATGCAAAACAGCACAACCTTGGCTATTCTGTGAACAGAACCGTAATTATACTACTCTATCCCTATACTACTCAGGGCTCTGTTTGACTAATGCAACCATCAATTATTCTTCATTTCAGCTCAATTATACGGCCACCATTGTTGCAATGAAGCAGGTTTCACTTTCAAATGGAAAGAAAGCCAGTTGTATCTCCACAACTGAACTAAAACAAAACAAAAAAAAAATTAATTACATACATATATTGGAAATGATTTTATTCCCCTTAATTGTAAATTTTTTTTTTTACATTTCACAGATAGAAACAACAGAAGGAAAACGATAAATGCTTTATCAGAATCTTTGCTAAGAAAAGTATGAAAAAGAATGTGTATGTGTTAATTATCTCTATTTATAGTTCTTTATCATACTTTTTCAGCATTACAAAGTCAAATTTAAGCATACATATGATGAATCATATGTATAAAAATAGTTTTTGTGCTGTTTTTATAAGCTGGAGGAAACCCACTTGTGTTCACTGTGAAGGCATCATTTCATACATTGCTCTAGAGCTGCTGCACCGTGGCATGACTCCACTTTTGCTGTTAAACTTGTCTTTAGATAAAAAATAATTTGAGTCTAGGATTAAAGTCCTAGAATCTAGAAGATGAAAAACAGATTTTCCTGACTAAGGTATAGGCTGGAAAAAGTAGAAACGCTCTGCCTCACATCACTGGTCACTGATCGCAGAAGTTGGGCGTTTGTTTACTGGGCCGATGCAGGTTGGTCAAGGTAGGTGCGCTCTGGAGCGGGATGGTTATCACTCGCATACATAAAACCATGATGACCGCCTGTTTACCAGGACAAGGAGGGGAATTCAAGAGAATTACTCAGATGTGCTTTGATAAATGGGAATGTCATTCTGGGAATTATTTTGATTAAAAAAATATCAGTATAACATTTTTAGAAGCTTAAAAAAGTTGATTACGTAATAGACTATTTATGCTGGTATCTTAAAGGAATTCCAGGCAGCCTTAACATTCGATTTCCCATGAATAGTAAACTGAATCCACATTAACATAAATTAATGTCAGTGTAACGTCAGAGTTTTGTTAAAGAGTTTTTGTTAAATGAAACCAAACAGTTTCAGCAAGACCAAAGAAAACGGAAGACAAATCAGGGAGAAAGTTATGGAGGTTTCAATCGGGTTTGAATAAAAAATTTAGATTTGAAGCTTTGAACTCTGAGGAAGCTGCAGAAATCCACAAATCAGGAGGGAGAATATCTCAGTAGGTCAGCTAGTAATCCTTCATTCTGCAAATTTGATCTCCTAACAAAAAGGGCAAGAAGAAAACCATTACATATGTTAAGCGACAAGTCTTGTTTGCAGTTTGTTACATAGCAATTAATTCTCTACTCAATTATATTAAATTCAGTTTATTTATATAGCGGCAATTCACAACATATGTCATCTCAAGGCACTTTACAGTTCACCAGATCATTAATCAGATGAAACCAAAGCATTAAATCTGTCAACATCCAAAGTGGCAAAACATTTACACTGCATAACGAAGCATGGTGAGGGTAGCATTATGCTGTGGGGTTTTATTTTTTTACCTTTTGTAGAATCGGTGCTTATAGTTGATGGGAAGCTGGGATGAAACTTTATTTGGGCTAATCAAAGTCCTGAGGGAAATCTAACTGAGATTTTTGTCAGTTCTTGATAACTGATATTTACTGACATTCTCAATTTAGTCCATCAGAGAGCTGAGAAGATTGCGACCAATGTTTAAGCCAACATTTACTTTCAGTGCGATTACTTTTACAGGGTACTCTTTTCTCTAGTTTAGAGACTAAATCCTGCAAAAAGGAGAATTTTCTTTTAAAAAGAAAGGAAATTGGCAGATGGAACTCTGAACTTTTCAGTTTGCTTTCATTAACTAAAAAATTTACTTGTGCAAATATTTTACACACACCTTAAAATGGTGCCTTTAAGGCTCGAGAAAGAGTCTAACAAATAACTGGTAGAGAATACGAGACATGCATCATCCTTTGGCTGATCTTGTACTGTAGGCCAATTTTTTCCCTTATACTGTGTCTCTTTAGGGATCACCTTTGCATTTAATTTGCGTAGTGAAAGAGCAGGCATCTTAGAAAACAAAAACTGAAAGACCTTCAGAAAGTGAGAAATAACTCCCAGAGAGACAGTATCATTATAGATGAAGAGTGATGCACATTTATCAGGATTAAAAAGACAAAAAAAATTCATCATGATAACACATTTCTTTATTTGATTCTCATGTGCTCTTGTGCAATTTCTAGACTTATACTGGAATAAACTTTTTTTTCTGTGAAAGAAAATAAAATTGACACTCAAAACATGTTGCTGGAATTCCATCCATGACAAACAAGCGAAGCAGCCTGACGTTCCCACAGAAAGATTTAAACCGAATCTCATTACATTAATGGAGACATTCCAGCTCAAAGCACCTCCAGCATCAACCGGACCACTTCAAGCCCGCGTTTTGAGATGACTCGGCTGGTACTTATAATACATGCGGGACTAATAGTGAGGCTGGGCTCCAACTTCAAACACAGGCTTTATAGTAAAACGTTGGCAGGAATCTTACACACACTCATACATACACATAACCCGACAACAAATTTCTCACATTTAATGTGCGATCCTCCCAACTAACAGCCTAAACAGACTTTGAAGTGCGTTCCACTTGTCCATTAATGGGAAACATTATTCAGGCAGTGTTTGCAGGCAGCTCCAAGCCAAAAAGCTTTACGCTGGAAACTCAATCTAAAAGGCAGACAGCTTGATCACAATGACGCAGAGGACACAGAACAGCTCCCACACTCCTGATCATACACACACCCACATGCAGTTAGCATGGAAAGTGAAAAAAAACAACATAATTTATTGACTTATTTACTCCTCTGCGTGCCTTAAGAAGCGAAGCCTAATGAAGAATCTTAGTCATGATGGGTGGAGCAGAGCAGTCTAATTGGGTTGAGGTTATATGCTGGTGCGAAGCACATTTCCACATCTGGGATTGTCTTGAAGGAAAGCCCGGCTGGAGTCAATGATCTCCTGAAAACATTTATTGTTATGATTAGAAGTAATTAGACTGAACAGTGAACAGGGTTGGCATATCAAAGTCATTTGGAAGCAAATGTTTTTGTTTTTTTTAAAGCCATTTATGTAGTTTTTTTTTTGTCTTTCAAGTCAATGGTTATTTTTTGTGTACCGTCTTTCATGACGAACCTCTAACTTTCTTTTCTGTTTTCTCTAGCATGCGACTGCCATCCTGTCGGAGCAGCAGGGAAGACATGCAACCAGACGACGGGCCAGTGTCCCTGCAAGGATGGAGTGACGGGGATCACCTGCAATCGTTGTGCCAAGGGTTACCAGCAGAGCCGCTCCCCCATTGCTCCTTGCATAAGTAAGATATTGGCCTCTTTCACAGACAGATACACATTAATATGTTGGTTTGTCTTGACAATCAGGACCTCGACCTTTGCTGAAACAGGGATTATCCTCCAGCAGGCCTTAATACAATCATTTATAGTGCTTCTTGTTTATGTATTCTGTTAGATTTGTTTTCTCTGTTGTTAAATATATAAATTATACATGCAAAAACACATTTTTGGACAGTAGAAATCTGAAACATTTCGCATGCTTTCCTATCCAGCCCCTTTACTCATATACATCTATATAAAATGCAGTGGCCTCCATTTCCTACAGAAATCCCCTAATTAGTAAATATAGTTAATTTTTGTGTAATTCGATATCACTTTGAATTCCGCTGTCCTATGAAGATCTTTCAGGTTTATTAGAGAACATAAAATCATAAAAATCATGACGAACTGCCTAAACAAGTGGTTCTAAAAGTGGAGGGCAAGTGACCCATTTTAAGAGTTTTTTTTTAAGTAAAAGTAAGCAGTAACATTATTTTATTTCTCTGGTTTGTTATTTAAAGCATATTGGAGTTAATTTTATTGCCAAATGTAATTTACTCACTTTAACTTTTTTACAGTCTGTTTAAAAGCAACCGTTTAAAGGAAACTGGGAGGGAAAAGGGAGAGAGTATGGTAAAATGGTGCAAAATAGTTGGTACTATGAATATCTCCCATCAAGGAACTACGGTAAACAGAAATCCAGAGCTGAAGTTAAATGATTTAAATTGTAGCACATTTATATGTTAGAATGGCCTAGTCAAAGTTCAGATGTAAATTTAACTGAGAAACTGTGGAGAGACATTAAAAGCTGTCTGTCCACATGTGCCCTCCATCCAATTTAACACAATCTGAGTTACTTTATATAAAAGAATAGTTAAAGGATTTCTTGATGAGTATGTGTACAAAAACTGGTAGAGACATAACCTTAAATCCTCACAATGCAGGACACACGTTAGCTACGTTTCCTTGTCCTTCCACTTTACATTTATTCATTAAATAATGTGAGCCTGTCATATTAAAAATAACACTTTGGTTGCAACAATACTTAAAAAACGATTGCACAAAGTCAAAGCTATAATAGATTACAGAATTCAATAAAATGTGCTTGTTATCAAAGTAACCATGACAACTTATTATTGTGTCCTAGTGCCATTATTTTGAAAAGATATGTAGCCGTTAGAACATGAGTCTGGATAAACAGATCGTTACGACTCGACTAACAGACCTTTGTTTGCCTTCAGCCCAGCTAACAGTGCCTCTCACAATAAATCTCCTTAACCAGTCCGAGGGAATGATGGCTGATATGTTTATTGGCTGTATCTGCAGCCTGCAGTTTCCAGACCCGCTGCAATAAACTCCATCGCCACCCAGGAGCAGAGATAGGCCACAAGAACCTGCTTTAGCTGGGAGCATCAAGTAGCTGGCTGGCATGAACAGATAAGATAACCCATGTCAGGGAGGACGCGGATGTGTTAGCTTTTGTTCACTGTGCAACCAAGGTTGACAATCCTGATAGAGCCAATTGTAGAAAGTGGACATGGTGTGGTATCGAAAAACAGGGATTTAACAAGGTACAAAAAAAAATGGGGGACAAACGATTATGGAAGATTGTGAATGTGTTTTATCTCTCATTTTTTATGGATAACTTTTCCTTTTATTGGTATGTTATACATTTTTTGCGATATCAACTTCATGCCAGTTCTGAATTTAACAAGACTAGCAGTATGCACCCTCTACTTGCAGGATATGGCAATCAGTACAAAGACAGGATAATTTATGGAAAACCTACAGAGTTGACAGAATATTTTAGGCATGATAAAATCAAAAATTGTCATGTTGGAACTCGAAACTGCAATATTTAATAGGAATTTCATGTGATTAAAGCTGTACATAAAGAGAATGGAAATATATAGGGGTTTTTTTTCCCAATTCCTTGACATAAAAAGGCCTATAAATTTTTAGTTTTAGGTTATTTTGGATCACCAAAACGATTCCCATTACTAAATGTCAGAATATCTAATCGAATCAAGTTTTATTTGTAGAGTACTATAAAATTATCCCGAGGCCCAAAGTGCTTTACAGAGAACAACGGGGTAAAATGAGAACACAGACTCAAAAAGACATAAATAAGAGATAACTAGAAAAGTACTTTGCAGATTTGCACAATCCTTTCAATTTGATGATCTTGCCCCATATTATGACTTTGACTTATAGCTAAAACTCTCAAACAATCTGGATCATTGCTGAATTTTAATGAATTGTTCCTTGGCATAAGGTGCAACTTTGTTAAAAAGAAAAAAAAAGTTACATAAAATCCATTACTAAGTTTTCAATTAATGGTAACAAACCAACAACTTTCCCTTTTCCTGTGTTTTTGTCTTCAGTAAAATACCTTCTGACTTTTTGAGTCCGATGCTGAAGCTGTCAATACTTACTGCTGCCACCCTCTGGTTTTGTGGGGAACTGCATGTTCTGCGTATTATCCCTATCTCAAAGTGGTATAGAATCTTTAAAAAAAAAATCCTGTATCCAGATTATGATCTAGATCATTACCAAAATGGAATGGATTGTTGCCATGAGGGGAACTCTGATAGAAATGTCATTAAAATTGTCCATGGGTTATCCTGTACACAGACACACTCTACTAAAAACAAATGGATAATGGCAGGAGGCACTGACCTCCTAAGCCAGGGATTGTGGGTTTGAGTGCCATCTAGGATGGCCTTCTTTTTCAGGGTGTGTGACCAAGTAGTTAGGGCTTTGTTTTGGAATCCAGAGGTTCTGAGTTCAAGCTCCACTCCCACAGACTGACATTCGGGGTCCCTGAGCAAGACCTTTAACCCAGTTGCAGCTTGTGGAGTTTTCTCCATGGGGGGCTATAAATTCAAAATAGATGTATACCAAAAACCATTCAAACGTATACTAAGTTATCACACCAGTATATTTATATGAATGCCAACAACAAAAAAACATTATAAAAACACTTTATAAAAACAAAACATAATTTCATGTACAGGTTTACTTTTTGTACATAAATCATAATTTTTTTAATATATAAAAAAAATTTATTTTCTGAGAATGTGTTTATTTAAAAGCAACTATGCAAATTAACAAACATCTAGAAAAAGTACAATATATTATGCTTTTCTAAAAAGCACTTTAAATCAGTCCTACCTGTCTTTATCCATGCTGGGTCAGATCCTGATGTTTGAAAAAGGAGGCAGGTAAAGCAGGATAAAGTGTAAGCCTCGCTAAATGATTTTAGCCAAGCTTTCTAAATTAAATTATAAAAATATATCTATATTTTTTATATCTTAATCAGTGTCAGGGCGGTGCCCTAGCGCACTCTATTGGCCAGCCGGCACTGCTTTAACCCCACACCGCTCCCCAGCTGACAGCATTAAATACATATAAAAATAGTAGTGGCAAATTTCAAGGCAAATATAAGTTTAAGAAGCCATTTAAAATCAGACAGAGAGATCGCCTCTTAATCTGCAGTTGAAGGTCATTTTACATTTAGAAAGGCACAATCCTCCTTCTAAGTTTATGATTGGTTTTAGGAACATCAGGCAGCAACTGATCAGCTAAGCTAAGAGAAAAGGAGGCTGCAAGAAGATGCAGCTCTGAGACGTAGGAGTAAAACCGTTAAGGGACTTAAAAGAACTTTAGAATAAATCCTAAAACATGCAGGGAGCCAGTGAACTGTAACTAAAACGGATGTTTTGTGCTCATATTTGAAAATAAAGGACATGCCACAGCATTTTTCTTTCTGGAGTGGAGCACTAACCCCCGCATACAGTGGGGTACAGTAACCCAACGGAGAGGCAAAGAAGGCATGGATTACTTAAAAAAAATAAAATAAAAAAAAAAATCTTTTTTTTATAAAGAACAGGTTTTATTTTTGCCAGCCACATTTTGCCAACTCCATGCAAGCTTTTCAGAACAATTTTGAGGACTTCTGGCCTTTTTGTTTGGACAGAACATGTGTAACTTGGGTTTTTAGCCAAATGTTTCACCTTTTTAGGTCTAGAAACAGTTTTTTATAGAATAGTAAGTTGACTCTGAAACACTTATTTGTGCCCAAGCTTTAACCTCCTGTCTGATGTAATGAGAGTTGATTCCATATTTCCACATGAAATAATTTCCTTGTAAAAATGACTGTTTTGTGAACTTCCTCGGCTCTTCCTGCGCTCAAAAACGATGCTACCACCCCTTTACTTCTTGGATTGGATGCTTTCCTCAAGGTTGCAAGATTATTGTCTTTTTTTCCACCAGTTGAGTCATCAGGACACAGGACATCCCTTCTTTTAGCTTTTGTACACTGTTATGTGGCTTTTCATGTTGTTTTTGGAGTAATTGTTTCTTCCTCGCTGAGCTGCCTTTCAGCCCATGTCATCCCATCACTCTATAAATGCACAATTTGGACTAAAACATTCCTGAATGCTATGATGGCTAGATATTCTCATTGTGTTATTATTCGAATTGTTTAAACAGGTGAACCTTTTGGATAATTTGAAATTGTACATAATGATCAACCATGAAGGTCCACAATTATCTTCCTGATTTCTTGGCTCATTTCCTTTGGTTTTTCAATGATGTCACACAGTGAAGCTCTGTGTTTGAGGTGTTGCCTTAAAATACACCCACAGCTGTGCCTTCAATTAACTCACATGTTTTAAATCACAGATTTGTGAGATACATTCTGATCTGGGCTTTCCTAGTTTGTTTAAAGGCAGATTAATTAAAATTATTTAAATACTCTATATTTGAAGAAGTAACATTCAGTTCTCTTAAGAATTTAGCTTATTATAATAATTTTAGTAATTCTAACTCCTATTAAAATGAAAGGGTTTATTCTGGTTTCATCAGACAGTGAAAGAAAAGGTTATTTGTAATTTTTTAGTGTATAGAAAAGTCTAGTTTCAGTTGAATGGGTGAAATTATGCATGGTACTCGAGTCTTTTTGTATGCATAGAAATCTGAAAAAAAAATCTTGAGCGCATTGTTTTAATTTTTTAAAATTTTTTATTTATTTATTGTTTTATTTTTTATTTTTTGCGCATTGTCTTTAAACAAATCTTTTTGATTGTCAGACCTGAATCCCAGTAGTGAAACATGGTGATGGCAGCATTATGCTGGGGGAAATCTCCTCCTACAATGAAAAGCATGAAATAGTCTTTTGTTTCTTATAAATGTCTACTCATATAACCAAAAACATGCATCTATTAAATTTGATAAATGACCTCATGTTTGTAAAAATGACAAAATGTGTATTTTTCATCTAATTTATACAGAAATCCCAGTTGCTTCCCCAACATCTACTTATAACAGCTATGAGGAGCCGTCAGGTAAGCAACAAATAATATTTGATTTATTTTAAAATAATCCAAAATGTCTCCTAAGTTAACCTTTTGTTTTCATATTTGTTACCCAGAGTATTTTATTTGTGTAAGATTTATTTAAACATGAACTAAACCAAACTGTCCCTTTGTCTGGATAATAGGTTAGCGTGTTTTAAGCACAGGCATGCTGTTTTCCACACTCCCAAACTCAGCCCCTGTCAGTGAGATCAGACTGCCGCTGATGTAAACTCCAGATATTTTGCCAGCACTCCCTGCGGCCTCATCGCCTGTATTCCCAGCCTGCCCAGCAGCCTCCCCAGAGTTTCAGCCCTAATCTGATTACATGCTTCATTTACACCAGTTTGTATTTCTATCAAGGCTGGCTGTGCCAGAAGAGAAGCCCTGCTGGATCTCGTTGTTCGTCTGTTCCGACAAGAGTCTCCATGTCGGACCAGTGACATTTTTGGATTGGATTAATTCTTTTTTTTTTTTCAAAAACTTTCCATTATTTGAAAAGTTTTTTAATTTTTTAAATGGTTAAAGTATTTTTCTTTTTAACATGAGGAGATTATGATCCAGGTTTATTTGAATAGCCCAACTCACCCCTGGTCATCGATCAGCGCCTGACGAATGTGGCGCCGCTGACTTCACCGAGCTTTGTTGCCATTCTTGCTTCCTGCTTTAACGAACGCTGAGGCTGTGAACAGTTTGGATTCCTGACAGAATCTCCAAACAGACACCACCCTCCAAATTAGGAGCGCCGCGGTCTCCGGGGATCCCGCAGAATGAACGTGGCACACAAAGGGGGCGTTTGTCCTCACAGCAGGAGATTGGAGCTTAATGAGAGCCGCGGGTGTGATGGGACACCCCGGCAATTGCACCAAGGGGCTAATGGGTAACGTCAGCTATCAAAGGGAAGCATGATGAAGGCCCCCAAGGGCTGCCTATAGATAAAGAGCACCCCTCCTTGCTCTCGACATTTCATTTGCATTGAAATCGAGCATGCTCGATATGGACTCGTCAATTTCATTTACTTTGGGATTTCCTCACTTATTATTTCTCCAGCACGCCCAGAAAGGAGCCGGGCATTCCAACCTGCTCCTTATACATGAATTCGATCCTCATCTCACGTCTCAAACCACTTTTTTCTCCCCTTCGTTTTTTTTTTTTTTTTTTTTTTTTGTGAGAGGGAGGGGGGGGGGTTTTTTTCTTGCTCCATCATTACCTAGGCAACCNTTTTGTGAGAGGGAGGAGAGGGCGTTTTTTTCTTGCTCCATCATTACCTAGGCAACCTCATTCACACAGAGTATAAAGGGGAAGAAAGGGAAAGACTGGACAGAGGGCTGGAAGAAATAATGAAGTTTGTCCATATTCAGGCGAGCTGAAAGGTCCCCCCCTCTCTCTCTCTGTACTGCCCCCCTCCTTTCTCTCTTAAGACTGCCCTGCCCAGTTTTCCCACCCCCCCCCGCATGAAAAAAATGCACAAGGCTTATTGCTCCAGCCCAGGCAGAATGGGGGTGCACTTGAGGATGGTCTGCTTCCAATTTGTGTTGGTCAGTGAAAACAGGAGAGAACAAATTATTTTAATTTTTAGCTTGGCCTCAGGTCCGACTATCAGCCTCCTAATTACAGAAGGTACCTGGCAAAATGTCAGCATTGCATAAAAGTCACAGATCAAGCCCTTCAGCAATGGAATCTAGATTCAGATGGGAATTTGCTAAAAGGCTGTACTAGCAGGACTAGGAAGATTCAGCCATTTGGCTGGTGTTAGAGCATGCACTTTGATTCACTATGTGGCTTTAAAGAGAGCTAATTTCTGATGGATCTCCTCCCCTCCCTCACCGGTGACCTTTTATGAAAGGGTGACCTTGGGGCAACCCGCACAATAAATGGCAGGACACTGGCGATGGAGCAGGCTGGAATGGGAAACATGGAGGCGTATAGTAGGAGCGTGCTGAAGACAGAGGAGGATGTGTGTAAGCTTTAATCTGTTTCACGCTGGTTGTCTGAAGGCATCCTTAAGTGTCTGAGAACAAAAGCAGTGGGACACTCAGCACGAAGGTTATAACCAGATTGTTGCACAAGCTAGTATTAAAACTCTGTAATTATTTAATTTAGGAGTGTCACTATACCTTGTCCATCAGACGTCAGCTTTACTTTTTCAAGTCAAGTAGCAGTGTTTCAGTATTTAGAGCCCCAGATATGTGGGAGGGGATTTTGATCTAATAGTAATAGTAAAAAATGTAACACTTAGATCTAATAATGAAAAATATATCTATATATATATATATATATATATATATCTATAGATATATCTATACATATATATATATATATATATCTATAGATATATATATAGCTGCTTCATTAACTGTTACCAACATAAAAAAACATGAAAAAATTAGGGATATTAAATAGTCAGAACTTACCTGTGATATTTCCCCAACATTTTAATTACTGATTTGGTTTTTTTATTATTTGCAGAATACAAGCTATCATGATTCAACTTCTCATCTTATTATATGGAGTTAGGATTTAACTCCATATCAACCCTAACCCTAACTTCACGCCTCAGATTTAGCAGGAATTTGGGGAATTAAGGACTTCTTTCCTAGGTAGTTGTCCAACCAACGTATTGGTTACAACTACCAATAGATATATAATTAGGTAGTGTTTTTAATCTAAGTGGAAAAGGGGAAAACAAATAAATATTGGTCTCTTTGTCCAAAACATTGGTTAAATAGTCTTATAACATTAAAAGCAAGGACTTTGGTGGCAGGTAAACCCCTTCATCCAACTCCACTGTCCTGCTATTACTTCTTAGAATTTAACTAATGTTAGTACCAATGTTACCACCAGGTTAAAGCCAATATTCGCATGTGGTGCATGTACTCATCACTGTCATTGATCTCTAGGTCCATAACTATTGCACACTGCAGTTGACTACATCCAAACATTCAGAGTAGTAAAACATCAGTTAGTTTTTATTGGTTGTTTAGTTAACCAATCAAGTTGGTTGATCAGAAACCAAACAGCTTGGTCAGTCTCAGTCCAATATATTGACTAATCAAACCAAAATTGGTTTAACCAACTAGATTGATTGTTTTTCCCCACCAATCCATTCTTAGAGCGTGGAATTCACTGTTCCGCTGTACTTTACTTTTCTGGAAGGTAATTATTTTTTTGGTTTGTTTTGTGTATTGACACACCTCTAAACAGGACCAAATATAAAGATTTAACAGAGATATGTATCCAGCTGAATCTCACCGGGTCGCAATTTAAGATGTTATAAGGAGATTTTAGTAAATACAATGACATTGACAAGCATTGCTAACCTATACCTTCCCTCCTCTTCCTTCCCTTTCGCCAGATTGCGAGTCCTATTGTAAAGCCTCCAAGGGAAAAATGAAGATCACCATGAAGAAGTACTGTAAAAAAGACTTTGGTGAGTGAGTCTAGTGCACAGGAATGTGTGCTCACATATGGTAGGCAGCAGTCATGAGGTCAAATGCCTCAATCATTCAAAGCTCAATGATGTTCAATTCATGCCCTGTACCTTCATCTTCATGTCTCCATTGATGACTTACTGAAAACATAACTGGGCGATGTCGGGTTTTACTGATTAGTTCAACATATTTTCGGTCTCTGATGTGGTATTTGGTGTAGTCTGCCCTTCAACATAGTGTGTTTTTAGAAATACTATCACAAGTGGATCATTTTTAAGCATGGACAGTAAACACAGAGCTTTTCAAGATTTACAAATGTTTGCCAAAGTTCTGACCCTGGTAATTTTCTCATTTTCTGTGCTGATTATTCCGATCTGATCACAACTCAGAGATGTTTCCATTGACATATTTCCAAGCCTTATCTCTTGTGATAACATTCTGGGGACTTCTGAAGATTGAAACAGAAACAAGCTGAAATTCTTTAAGAAAAACATCAAATCAAGGAGGTCTGGCCACTTGTTCCAAATAAATATAAGCAAATACATGAGCTCAGCTCTGCACAGTGGGGATATATAAACAATAGCCCTGTCCAGCCCTGTTTTTAACTAGTTTAGTTTTCTACTACTGTCTTTCTCTACCTTGCAGAGTTTATAAGCCTTTTTACTGTTCTAACTACAAATATCATGGATGAAGAAAGCTTATGCAGAGGGATCATAGACAACAGTGTTCTTACTGCATAGTTTTTGGTTTCCTTTAAAGCCAAAATTCATGTAAAAACTTCTAAATGCACACTTTTTTTTGCATTCAGTGTAGTCATGAATGCAATACAATTTAGGTTTTTGATCAAGTGTTTTACAGTTATGGTTGGCATGGTGGTACACTGTTTAAGATTCTCCTCGCTGCAAAAATGTCCTGGGTTTGAGTGCTGGGGTCGGCAGGGGGCTTTTAGTGGAGTTCATGTGTTTTCCTACGCTTCCACTACTACCAAAGAGATGGGCTGTGTCCGAATGTCCGCCCTAATCACTATAAAGGGCACTATATAGTGGTAACGGCATTTTAGATGAGTGTCCGAAACATTTGGTGGATAAATAAGTAGTGGACTTGAAAATTCCCATAATGCACTTTGTGAGGAGAGCTCTCCTCACAAAGCATCATGGGATTTGTTGTCACAGTGGCTCGCTGTCACCTACAGCTGTTGCTACCCGACAGCAGCGTCAAATATCAAAGATGGTGCAGGCACCGTGCAGGTAGGCGGAGTCACGAGACCAACAAGGAGTAAAAAAAGTAGTGCACACATCTGCAGCAGCTCAGGCTAACATTTGATCCAACAACTGTACCCTGTATTTATAATGGCGTATAAAACATCTTATCTTAGTGGATTTTTTAAGAAAAACATTAATGTCAAAAATATATTCAGGAATTGAGCTGTTATAAAATAAGTTTATCTCCGCTTTATTGCTAATTTTCTCAAGTTTATAGCTTAAATTATACAGGCTTAAATATATACAGATTCCCCCATTTGTTTGGTTTAATGTCCCTTAGCATGTTGCATAAAAATTACTAATTTAGGTAAATCAGAATATATAAAAAAAATATCCATCTAAAAGAATAAATAAAAATAAAATTAGGTGTATATATAAGGATGATATATTCAACAATAGGATCTATCAAAAATCTACATCCAGAAAATATATTCAAGTATGAATTGTGTCAGATATGCATGTGGAATATCCATATTGCGGATCAGTTTTACATGTGTATGTAGGGAGATCCAGTATTGGGATCTATCACAGATGTAAATTCAGGCACTATCCTTCTATAGTAGGATCTGTTACAGATTCAATCCTTCCATATAACCTTGGAATGTGACCGATACATAAACCTGTGTATTGTTGGGTCCACTTTGCAAAATTCACTAAACCCACACTATTACAGTCCGCCTGCAATGCCTGAGTTTAAAGCAGTGGTTTCTTTTCAGACTCGGCCCCTTCTGATTTAGAAGACAGCCCCTCCCTAAATTTTTTAACAGTTGAAAAAAGGAAAATCAACTACAGGAAATTTAACTTGAAAATGAAATAAACTACAACCTGCCGCAAATCACAAAACTACAACTTAAAGTGGATTCACACTGAGCTCGTTCTGGGTGTCAAAGCATCTGATTTACATGCAGAGTCCATGGGGTGCAGTGTCAAGCATCGGCAAGAGGTATTGCAGCGCGTCTGAACATCATCATTGGCGCATCTGAGCATCCGGCCAGCCGAGTGTCGGAGCAACAGAGACGATAAACTACCAGTTTGCAGAGCATTGAAGAATGAAAACATTTTGACCAGGGTTTGGCCCAGCGTAATTTTGGCATTTAAGGGTTTTGATGTCCAGATTGCGTTTGGTATAAATGCACTATTATAATTTAAACTAGTTATTTTCTTTTTTTTACTGTGCAGAAGAATTCAACATTGTTGTCAATACATTATAAGATCAAGCAGGTACCTTACAAAATGGGTAATTTATTTAATTATTTCATAATTAATTATTAAATTAGTTTCCGAGGCCACCACTGTAGTTACACTAAGGCCCCCTGGTTGTTCACCCTCCACTTTGGAAACCATTGCTTTAAAGGTTTTCGGGGGGGGTTTCTCACATATTTTTTCCCTCATTTTATTTGACTTGGTTTCTTTTTTTCAGCCAACTTGTGAAATCCCCAAAAGTCCACAAAAGGGGACCAAAAGACCTTTTAAAATCATTATTATGGAAGCCTCAAAAAGTTTAAATGCTGATAACATGACATATATGTGAAAGAATGAAATATAAAAAGTAACATGTATGCCTCCTGATATTTTCCTTCAAGGAGGAGAAATCTCTAATAACCATCAAGTTAAAGCAACTTTCCACTCACCTATCTTATGTTTTCCCTTATCCTATCGTCTACCTCAGCCAGCATGCAAGATTGCAGACAACAACCTGGACAAGTTATTAGTCTGTTACTGAGATATCAGACACTTATACCAATTACACAGACAGTCGCAATTACTGTAGGAACGACCTTAATTGACCTTAGAATGACCTTAACACCCATGCATGAGAAGAACATTTATCTGCATCCTGCAGGACTTTCTTGCTGTGAGATAGCACCACTAAAAGCTTAAAACTTTTTCAAGCAAGTTTATTTAAATATACATAAACATACAGTATTTATTTGATCCTTATGGGTTACAGTCAAGTGACCATTTAAATATACATTTCAGGACTGGAAAGAGATTCAAATTTATTGCTTTGTCTCACTAGTCGTAAAAGAGGCAGAGCACCGATGTCTGAATTGTGCTCATCTTGTTGCAGACCTTGTAAAAGTCTAAAAGAAAAATGTGACACCATGTGAGTATGCTTGGATAATAGAGAACTCACTCTACTTGTGGTATTTCAGAAGACGGCGAGGCGTTTTACAGCAAATCGGAAACAGACTAAAGAGGTCATAACACAGCAGGGATGTAACGCCTTCAGTGACTGGAGGAAACACAGGAATTAAACGCAGTGCTTCAAAGAATCTGCTTGATATCATTTTACAATGCCATGCAAAGGAATTCACATCCACTAAATTTATTGAAATGTTCACCCCTATCAGGTCTGAATCCTTGATGCATTTTGTTGGGATTTTATGATTTACATCAAAATACAGCCATGTGTACATTAAAGCAGAAAGATTAAATAAAAAGGAAAAAGAAGAAAAAAAAAAACACGCATTTGTATCCAGTCCTGATAAAAAAAAAGAATAAAAAAAAATTCAAAAGGCACCACATAAATTCAAAAAACTAATCTCAGTATATGACACTGTTGTGTCAAGGTAAGTTTCTCCATTACTCCAATAAGTTTAAAACAACCCTAATACTAGATCAGAAAACATTTAAAAATTATGCTCTGGACAGATAAGCGTTTTCAGCTGAGCGACTTTACGTGGTTGGACTCGGATCAACACAGGATTGCATCATCGCACTGCAGCCATTTATTTCTCAGCCTTTAATAGAACAATTGGCCAGTACTACTTTGCTTTTCTTTGTCTCTATCATGACTAAATGATTTCATATATTTAGTTTTCAGTAATCATTCAGTCTGTATAATTATTATAGCTGTTGATTAATTATATGAAAAGAATTTTTATGACATTAGAGTCCAAAAAATGTGATCCACATTGTGCACCTTTAGTCTTTTACTTGCAAACTCAACCAGATCTGTTTTGTTTCCTGAACGATCTGCTCTGGTTCAGATTAAAGTGGATGCGTTAAAAGAAGAACAATTGCATATTTTAGAGAAGCAGTGAAAGCTGCCCGTATTTAGGACACTTCAGAAATGCATCGTAAAATGAAGGTAATGTAAACACTCTAAAGCTAAAATAAAGTTGCTTCTATCAGCTACAAAAGAATGACGCATTGGAATTGAAAGGTAATACCACCGATAAACAATTAGGCCTACATGCAAAAAGGCTAACTGTGATACACAGTGGTGGAAGGTCAATGCTGTGGGGAAGCGTTTTTGAGTTGATGCAAAGCAAAATCCTGGAGGAAAAATGTTTTGACGTTTAAATCAAAAAGTTTAAAATCCACAAAACACTTTTTCTGTTTGTTTTTAATGGTTTACGGTACTTCTATTAAAATACTGTAAAAAGTTCCAGAGGCACTAGAGTTGTTTTCCTGTCACTCCTACACTTTTCTCTTGTCTAACAGAGAAACATTTGACCATTTGGAAAGTTATTACATGAAGCCAAAGGACTGCCACCCACTACTAATGTTAATGTTATGCTTTTGTGAAACAGCTGCTATGCTAAGAGGCTACAGAAGGATCTCACACTGCAGGTTCATTGCATAAGCAGGTAGCAGACTAACAAACCGGCCCTCTTTAGCTTGTCCGACTCCCACTGCTACTTGATAAAGAGCAAAATGCCTAAAAGGTTTAATATTCTGTGCATTAAGTGACCTTGAGCACAACCATACTGTCAGTGATGTGGTTAGAT